TAATTGGCACACTGCAACGATTAATGATTAAGTAACTAAGTCACTGTTGCTCAAGAATTACTTAAGCCATGCTTTCTCTCTTCTTTTTAACTATAAGGGCAACATCATTTTTCAATCTGCATATGCTAGATTCAAGCTGCTCCCCAAAATCCTTTAACATATGTGACTGTCTCTCTGTAAAAAGATGTAGCATTTGTAGGTTATCTTCTTCCTGCAAAAGACCAATAAAATTAATGAGTATATATTGGACGTAGTGTGCATGCTATTTTATACATCTTTTCCTTATGGATGTCTTAGAGTGGCAAGGTGGCGATTAAAGCAGGAACTAAAAAATAGAAGGTAATAGTTGAAGTTGAAAGAACAATAAATTCTCTCTAAAGCAGAAAGGACGGGACAAATCACAGTTAAATTGAAAACTAGATGTGGATTCATAGTAGCAGTGGTGGTGCCTGTTGAACAAAAATAGCATAGATCAGGTAGCTGAGTTGGGAAAGGGAAGGAGGAGAGCAGAACAGGTCCTCAAGCTAGAATCAGCAGCAGTGAGTCATGTGGGGAAGATATGCAATGCTTTTCACCTCTCCAGATATCTCCAGATTGCACTACTTTCACACCTCCTCCCCCAAATAAGGATCAGTTTACACACACAAATTGATAGCAGTGATGTAGAGCAAGTGCATTTCTACTACTTCTTTATGGCCAAAATAGGCTCCTAACAAATACATTTAATATCCATAATCTACCAACTTGTTTCTACAAGAAATAGAAAAAAAAATCCCACTCATTTGGTCAAAATAGGTACAGACTGGTGTGTATATTTTCCTTGGGTACTAACGACCCAACAACTTCTGTGCACTGGGTTTTGAAAACAGCCTGTACTACAGACCATTTCAGTTTTGCTTACCTTTTGCAAGGATCTTGTGACTGTTTACCCCTAATAAATTTTTATTCTACAAGCAGAAAAGGTAAAATGACTCCTTTTTACAATGTCTGTTCCTACAGAACAAAGTTTAAAATGGAGAAGTGATAACAATTTGCTTTATTATAGTGCCAACCCCACTACCAAAGGCTCCTGTACATGGATATAAGAAGAATAGTTTTCCATATAGCAATACACATTTAATTCCTATTATACAAAATGCCTACTTCTTCTGAACTCTCTGTATCCCAGTCTGTATGGGTCCTCAGCATTTCAGCAACTAATTTAAAAAACAAAATGAAATTGCAGCTCCTTCTGCAGGTACAGCACTGAGGATTAGGATCAAATGTAAGAGAAATTACTGACAGTGATTTGCAAGGAGTTGAACTTGTAATAGGCTGGTAGTTGCTACCTGTGTTTTGTCCTCTTAGAGTCTAGTGTTCTTGCTTCATAACATATAACAAAGGTCTAAAAGATTTCTTACATTAGAAATTCAGATCTTGTCTACCCCGTAAGACACTATGGGTGATGGAAGTTACAACATTCAATACAAAAAAAGGAAATTTTTCTTTCAATAGTTTAATTTTTTTTCTTAATGACTATTTAATGCTAAAGACCTACAACCAGAGGAAGACAAAGATTTTTCCTCAGTTCAGATTTGAAAAAACTTAATCTGATGCACCTTTCCATCCTCAACAACTAAAGTCCTTAACAGTCTATTTTTTAATGTAAATATGTGCAAAAAAAAAAATCAAAGTAGCAAAAAAGGCCCCAACCCCCTCTTACCCATTTCAGGTCATCCCTGTTTTACTCCTAATGTTGTGCTATGAAGTACAGTACATGTAAAATGAATAATTACTGAGTCACAACGAAGTTAAATGAGTTTCCTTACTCACACCTAGAGTAGCCCTGAATTTTGATTAAGCTGCTGTAAGGTATGCAGTGTAGACAGAGCCTGAGAGGCCAGAGCAAGTAGCGATCTACCTATCTCTGTCTTCAACCTTGTGAGAACACAGAAATCATATTCCCCTCCCCCATTTACCTACAGAGAACCCTATAGTTGCTATTGAAGTTGTGGGCAAGATGTGATGTACACAACTAGTTATGAAGGACTGAGAAGGAGCAACCAAACAAGGTTAACTGAGCAGATTGGTAGCAGCCTGAGGGAATGCACACTGCATCTAAGCATTACTGTAGGCAAAGACAGACAGCTACAAACCTGTGGTTGGCAAGGAGCTGGGGGTTGTGGGCCCTTGAGTGGAGCTTGGGCGAGTGAGCAGTAACAGCAGTTGTGGCCTTGAGGGACAGGAGGAGCAGGTCAGGGAAGCCTAGAAGCACCAGGCAATCACTGTTGGTAGCAGCTGCCATTTACAGAAACAGCATAAAAGACAAGATGCAAAAAAACCCGTTTTCAAGTAGCCTCCAGGCTATCAGCTATAGTCTAACAGCAGTGTTATGCCACACAATCAAAGAGACTGACTTTTAATAGGGGACTGACCCATTTTGGAGTTTTTCCATGTAGAAATATTTTTCTTCCACAATTAGGGTACTCGGGGGATGTAATGAGGCTTTAGTGAAACAAGCCAGAAAAACCACACCATGGAGATTTTTCTGCACAGGCCTCTTTCTAGCAGCTAGAACTAGAAACTGGTGCATGTCCTTTCTTATGAACAACATCATAGAAATGTAGGTTTGGAAGGGACCTTGAGAGGTCATCAAGTCCAGCCCTTGTGCTGAGGCAGGATCAAGAAAACCTAGACCATCCCTGACAGGCATTTGTCCAACCTGTTCTTAAAAACCTTCAATGATGGGGATTCCTTTGGAATCCTATTCCAGAGCTTAACTACCCTCATAGTTAAAAGTTTTTCCTAAATCTCCCTTGCTGCAGATTAAGCCCATTGCTTTTTGTCCTACCAACAACTGATCACAGTTCTTTTTATAACAGCCCTTAACATATTTGAAGTCTTATCAGGTCCCGCCCGTCTTCTTTTCTCAAGAATAAGACTTGTGAGCCTAAGGTATTGACATCCTTCCGTACTGCTGGCTGGGATAAAACACTAATTTTCCATTAGACAAGTAAGTGCTTAGCTCCTTGCATTTGAAGCATGAACAGCGCATGTCTTTACACTGTTAGAATACCCAGCATGTTATAAGATATCTACACTTTGTGGACTTTGATATTGATAGTACAGCCACACAAAACCCATGGAGGACAGGAAGTTGGTTCCAGTACAAATATAGGAAGGGAACAGCAGCAAAGGACAAGATCAGTTGTATCTTCATTCTTAGGTAGTCAGAGCAAGGTATACACAATGGTTTTAAGTCATAAAAGAGTCCTGGTTCTCATTTTTGAAAACTGCATAAAAATCATACATACGGGGGGTTTGCTGTGCTTCAGCTTCAGGAATTGCCCTCTCACTATGTTCATGTTTTGGTAGAAGACCTTAAGAGCTTTAGCAAAATCAGCATCATAGCTGGTCCGATGGTTGCACATCTGGTCAGCTTCCTTTGATGAGAGAGGCTGTTTGATCATCTTAATTGCCCTTTTATTAGGGGACCTTAATTTCTTACCTAGAATGCAAAACAGGAGGGATTTTATTAGTTACTAATAAAATAAAACCTAGACTGACAGAGACAAAATATTTTGTTCTGCATTTTTATATTGTCATTAGATGAAAGTGATGAAATTTCATCCGTATTTTTTTTCTCTAACGAGAGAATAAAGTTCAGTGGCATATAAACAAACTCTCAGCACCAGCTGTTCCAAGAGGCTCTAACCACAGTACACCTGAACCATAACAGAAGCATGTAATTTTATGGCATGATGTGTGTTTTGCACTGACTTTCATGGTGTCCTGGCTCCCATTTCTTCAGTTTATCTTTAAGAAATACATTTTCTTCCCTTAAAGCTCTGTTAATATCTCGGAGAAGCTCAGTCTCCTCTTCCAACTTCAGCAGCTTCAGGTAAAGATCAGATATCTGATTAGTTGTGCTCTATAAAAGAAAACATTAAGGTATCAATACCAAGATGGATTTTTAGCTATCAAGGCCTTCTACAGATGGATGTAAGGTTTTAATGGAATCATGACCTCCCCCGCATGGAAGCAGTTATGTACCACACACACACTGTTCACACTATTGTGCAAACTAAGTTTGAGGAGCAATTTATACTTCAATCCACTGATCAGAAATGCCATAGCATATTAATATTTATTCTTTGCTTGATGTGGTACCACTATGATATGTAGGGCCCATGTACAAATTTTACAGTCGCACCATATCTGCCCATACAAAATCTTAATCACCACTCTTTGATTCAGCCGTTCACTCGCTTTCAATGCAAGATTATTTTTAAAAATCAGTGTCATTTGACCAAGAGAAATTAGACCAGATCTTAACAGGATAAAGACGGTCTTTTGCAAGTGTGTACAGAAATACTGGCTATCTAAGAGTGACTACAGTATGAAAGGTAGAAAGAGAAGCATTTAAATAGGAACTTCAGTGGTTTGTTTTTTAACTAATTAGGGACTATGTGACACCAATTGACCTTTTTAGAAAATCAGGTGCTGCAGGTCCTGCATTAAATGATCCAGAGAAAGCAAGATAGCAAATGCTCTTATTGGAAAACAATGTGCCATCCTAAATACATTCAAATTAATTGACAGCAGAAAATAAAGAACAGGTCTGTGTACAGCAAAGCACCTGTATGATTTACAGTTCTGTTACTTGGATCTACAGGGACGCTCACTTGCCTTTCACTTACTAACACTCTATGGATAATGATGCTGACCTCTTTCTAAAGTGCTTTGAGAGCTGATGAGAAGTGATATGTAAGAGCTAGGTATTTATTATTATTCAAGTGGTCATTCATTTTCTTTAAAATGTAACTCAAACTGTTAATTTCTCCAGTTGAAATGATCATAAATGACGAGTTAAAATAACTATTTTGCAACCAGTTCATTTCAATGAGATTTTTATTAGCATAACAGGCTACACAAAAGTGTTACCAAAGTGTAAAGAAGAGTCAGACCAGATTCTCAACTGCTCCAATGTCCTCTGAGATTGCTAATAGTAGTGTCCAGAAGGGTGCTACGCTGCCTGTAGGAATTCTGAGGTCATGCTTGTTTCCTTCTGGAACGTACAGGTCATGGGACTGCAGGGTAGCCCTGGAGACCTTTCATGAATGGAGTGTCTCATCAGTCTTTGAATCAAAAAGTGAATTGCCTTCAAAGGGAAGGTCCTCAAGGGTGACGTGGACCTCCCTGGGCACTCTCAATACCTGGAACTAGGACGATCTCTTCATTGCCACAGATGTAGCCATGGTGCGTGCCACCGTATCAGACGTGTCAAGTGCTGTTTGTAGGGAAGTACAAGTTATCAGCTGCTCCTCATTCAATATAGATTTTAACTCATTCCTATGTTCAGGAGTAACCCTGTCCATAATTTGAGACAACATGACCCAGTGTAAATACGTTTTGTGAGAAAGGTTTGGTAATTAGCTACTTACATCTGGAGGCTGGGTGACTAATAAGCTTTATGTTGATGTACATCCAACTTTTGGGGGTCTTTCTCCTATGTGTTGATTTGAGGGGGCCCTTGTGGTTTGGACTTTTCCTGGACAGTTGCTACAAGAGATTCTGGTACTGGGTGAGAATAAATGTATTCCAAGCCCTTGGCAGAGACTTGGCCTGTCTACATGCTTGGATATAGCTAGAATCTATGCTGGAGTCTGCCATGGTCTTTGGCAGGCTCCAGCAGCCCCTGATTTATAGGCATGGCAAGGTGCAAAATGCCCAGCAGTTTGTGATTTCCCTTGCACCACCTCCAATGATATGTTGAAAGCCCCTGTGATGTATTTAATAAGATCCAGGAACACCTTAGAAAGTGCCAACTGGAGAAGAGGACAAGGGGTTCACTGCCACATTGGGAAAGATGAGGAAATTGCAGCTGGGATTTGTTCTTTGATGGGTTGCAGACACGTAATCCACTCAGCACATCGAAGCAGACGTGCACAAGCCCAGCACACTGAAGCTGGAGAACTTTGCCTAGCAGCACCTGTAGGAGTGGCACTCGCGCTCTGTAGCCCTTTCCCCTTCTTCGGCTATTTAAGGGTAGTGCCACCCCAATGTCCCTCCCCTGTTCTTTCTCATCCCCTGGAGCTGGAATCAGAGCATTCTGTGTGGTATCTACCCCATGCTTTTCTATCTCAGATTTTGTTGTACATAGTGGAAAGTTATTTAGCTTAGTACTACCTTAGGTTTAGTGCTAGTAATTAGTTAGGATAGATTGTTTTCCTGGTGCAATACCTTCTCCAGAGTTTTAACATTGTTCATTCCCAATATGACCCTCCACATGGTGCCTGCGGTGCTTGGGAGAAGTGCACATTAAAGAAATGTGCTCCATCTGCTCATCAATCAAGAGAAAAAACACAGGTGGTAAGGGACTTGCACTTTAAGCAGCACCTTATGGAGCAGGCCATGAGACCCCTACAATGCCGGGGACCTCCAGGACTGTCCGGCCACTCAGACAAGTTCAGAACCGAAGTGAGCGGATGTTCCTCAGCCAGACTCTGGTGCCTTCCCCAGGAGGGAGACAGGATCATTCTCCTTCCTCTGGTCCTCCAAGGAAAAGGCCTCACAAAATGGACTGCAACCACTCCAGAGCTCAAGAAGATTCTGCCTCCTCTTCCAGGAGTGCAGACTGATCCAGTGATTCTTCTGGTACACAGGATGGAGCTGGAGCATGGTACTGAGGTGGCATCAATTGGAAACTGTAACAAACTCCGGTACCGTCCATGGGATGCCCGTTGAGTCCAGTACCGATGACATCAGCCCTAGTTCTTCCCACACTATTGCCATAGTAGGCAGTATCAGACTTGCCTTGCCTCTCTGTTCCTGACTCCCCAGTTATTCAGGAGCATTCAGCTGATGGGATGACTTCTGTGTAGTCCTCAGTGCTGCCAGGATTGATTGCAGATTTGTCTCAACTGTCTGCACCATCATCTGTATCGTATAAGGCTCAGAGTGGGCAGCCAAGGTTGACCTCCTTATTGGTACAAAGGGGCCCTTTGGCACAATTACTATCTTCAGTACCAATGAGGACTGCAGGGCAGACCATGTCTAGAAGATCAGTAACAACCCAGCCTTCAGTGTTGTCTTCTGTTTTGGTACCAAGTGGGAGTGCGATTCCCCAGTCCTCAAAGCATTGACTTCTGTATCTGCCTTGGTACTGATGCAACTGGGTATTGGGCATCAGATGAGGCTGGATGTTTGCTTGCTCCACCTGCGGTGGCTCCCCCATTGCCTTCGAACGACTTGGGGGTTTGTCAGGATTGAGCTCAGTGACATTCTCCTCCTGTACCTTGGCTTTGAGGCATCATTATCGTAGATTGTCAAGACCTCCTATGGATCACAATCAGTATTGAGATTGGCACTGCTTCCGCAGTAGGGACAGTAGGGACTCGTGGACCAGTGCCTACTGGCCTATCACCAATGGCCTCCTTGGAATCCGGGGATCATTCCTTGATCTGAAAATTCCCAATCCTCAGCACACTCCAAGGCAAGGTCATCCAACCAGTCTGTGGTATCCCCCTCCTCAGCCACCTATATTACAGACTCAGATGGAGGCTGCTTCCTCAGAGCAGGTTCAGCCTCAGCCACTTGTGCAGGGACCTGTGCTACCTTAGGAGGTTCCAATGGCTCCGCTTCTTTCATCTCCCTGACACCGAATGAGACTGCAGCACTGGACTCTTCCTTTCCAGGGGCTGAGGATTTTAAGTTGCATCAGGATTTCCTGAAGTGAATGGCTTCAACCTGAGTTTGTGCAGGAACATACCCACAAGCTGGAGGACATTCTGCAATCCTCCCTATAAACGAAGCACTGTTAAAACCCGCTAAGACTGCTCTAATCTCATCTGGTCCATAACTCTCTTGTAGAACAGCAGCTAATGAGAGATCGTGGCAAGGAAGATATAAGTCCATGCCTAAGGACAAGGATTCTACTCATGGTATTTCCTGATTCGCAAATCCAAGAGAGGAGTGGGATCTGTTCTTGATCTCTGAGGTCTCAAAAGGTACAGCAAGTACATGAGATAACGAATGGTGACCCTAGCTACTATCCTACCAGCTTTGAATCACAGCCAGACTTGTTGCTAAAGGCTGGGAGGAGAACTTTGAGTGAGATCAGACATTTTCTTGTCTAATGAAGTTTATGAGTTAAGTTTAGGTTCTAGAATGCATGTTATGATTTTATTTTATATGTAATAATTTGTTTCCAATATTTGTGCTTGCTCTCATTCGAATCTCTGTTTTTTGTTAAATAAAATTCTTGTTTTCACTATAAACAAAATCGGAGGCCTTGTCTTCCCTACAAAATTAAGTTGACCGAAGTTAGGTCGACATACAGCCACCGCAGCAATTACTGCCGGGGTTCATGTCCACACTACACGCCCTCTGTCGATGGTGCACATCCTCACCAGGAGCGCTTCCACCGACAGCTATGTGGGGCATTGTGGGACCCTGACTGCTGGAGCCCCCCGCCCTGAGGCTGACAGCCCAAGCTGTCAGCCCCATGGCCATTGTCATTAAAAGAGTCTACTAATGTATCCCAGATTAAGAATTAGTTGTAGCTAAACTATGTAACAGTGGTGCTTTCTAAAGCAATGTCTGAAGCAGGTCAGCAGCTAGAAGGCTGTGTACTGTAGCTGTTTGATAAAACTCATGAGTGGACAAGATGCGTTATCTAGGACAGTGATTCTGTGCTGTACATATGGATTACTGCCTCACATGAAATACTGCCTACTTCCTGGGCCCCATCCTGCAATCTTGAATCACTGGAGTAGTCCCATTAAGGTCAAAGCACTACCTGCATAAATAACTACTCAGACCTGCTCTACACTAAAAAAAAAAATTAGGTCAGCTTAACTACGTTGCTCAGGGATGTGGATTTTTCCAACTCCCTGTCAGTGCAGGTAGCGTCTAAGCCGAAGTGCTACAGCAGTGCCGCTGTCACTGTACAAGTGTAGACAAGCCCTCAGGGAAGTAAAAACTTGCAGGTTCATCAGATCCACTGATTTTACCAAAGAATGTTACTAATAATTTAAGTGGACTCACCAGACCAATATCCTTTGCAATCACAGTTTTTGGATTATCAACTATAATGGCGCCCTCATTTGTGACCATGTCTTGTAGGGAGTAGTCCAATTCAGCGCACCCCTCTGCATTGTGGGAAAGAGAGCCCAGTTAAGACTGTTGTCACACTCCTTCACCACTGTATTTGTGTTGTACATCAATTGAAATATTTAGGGAGAAATAAAAATAACTTCGCTCTAAGCTCTGACACATCTCTCTGAACTTACACCAGTAATCTCCATTTTCTCAAACCTGCCTCCAACATATAACATTTGTATAACAAATCTCACATCATCTGTTTGATTCTTTTAAACACACACATCAACAATTAAACACCTAAAATTTTAGACACCAATTTCACAATTAGCTATGTTAGAGTTCTAAATACATGGGATACCGGGCTGTAAACCTACAGATTTTTAGGCTGTGTCTATACATACAGTGCTGCAGCAGCACAGCTGTACTGATATGGCTACGCCACTGCAGCACATCTGGGGAAGATGCCCTCTCCCATTGGCGTAATAAAACCACCTCTGTAAGCAGCGGAAGCTATGTCACTGGGAGAAGTTCTCTCGTTGACATAGCGCTGTGCACATGAGCGCTTATGTCAGTGTAACTTATGTCACTCTGGGGATGGTTTTTTGACAAGGAAGATGTATTTGGGGAGATTTGGGACTGGAAAGGCTGTTGGGGTTATCCTCCAAAGAGTAACTAGGCTGGTGAAAGGCTTGTGGGATGGCTACTGGTGCCAGGAAACTGCACAAAACATAGGCCCTCAAGGTTACCGGTCTGTGTAGTCCCCAAAATGTCACAAGAACAGTAAAGATTTTTTAAACAAAAAAAAAAAAATTTTTTAAAAAAAAAAAAAAAAAAAAAAAAAAAAAAAAAAAAAAAAATGTTATGA